TGCTCTTGACTATACAGAACAACAAATAAATAAAGGTTAAATATAAAGAAAAGGTCTTTTCAAAGTTTTATGTGCAGGCTTAGCTGGATCAGGTCTAATGAATTCAGTCAAACTTGTTGTTTAGCTGGAAAACAAGAACAAATTACTTGCTCTTTTTACTCATGAATAAGAAATGAACACCATTAAAAATAAAGGTTGCTTTCCCAGCTTAAGTTGTGTTTTCTTTAGCGTTTGAATTTATTCTCTTCTGTCTGTTTTTTCATCCTTTCATTGTTTATTCTTACAGCATGGCTTCTTCACTGGGAGATTTAATATAGTTATTGTAGTGTTGTCTCTCTTTGAACTGAAGATGAAATTGCTTTTGACTTGCAAATATTTCAGACTGAATTGGGCTAAATGACTTTGGGAAATGTCCCCGGCATACAGTGTCCTCCTCTTTCTCCTCTGTAAAGGTTAATAGTATCTGCTCTCAGTGAACGAGTCAGTGGACTTTACTGTGCCGTGCAGTGACAGACGAGGTTTGGTTGGAGCATCTTTTTCTCCCTTCGGGTGGAATAGAGTCAGCAGGCCAAGTCCTGTTCTGGTGGGCATTGATACATGCAGCATAGAGAGAAAGAAGATGAAAGCAGTGGAAGAATGAATAGCCGGCATATTAAAATGAACATGAAATACAGTAGCACGTGTTTCTGTGGGATTTGAATGAATGACCTCAAGTCGGCTGTGCTTGACTAGAAAGCTGAGCTACTGCAGAAAGATTTTATTAAACGCAATAGGTGCTTTACTAACTTAATTATCTCTTTCTCCTTGTCACTTTCCGCAGGTACGGAGACATGGTTCCTAAGACGATCGCGGGGAAGATCTTTGGTTCGATCTGCTCTCTGAGCGGGGTGCTGGTAATTGCCCTGCCCGTCCCTGTCATCGTGTCCAACTTTAGCCGCATCTATCACCAGAACCAGAGAGCAGACAAGCGGCGGGCGCAGAAGGTACAGGTGAACACAGTTTTATTCCTCTTCAGCGGGTCCCAGAGGGTCGCATCTCCAGACCTCCAGCCCACAGGGGAGCTCTCTCTCACCCCTCAGAGGAGGGAGGACTCCACAGGGTTCAGGTCATCCTTTAAGATTACCGTGTTTGTATAATCTACAGTGACTGACAGTATTTTCACATTAGCAGCAGTATGCGGTACCCACTGCTCCCAGTGAGTGTTGTCAGACTTTAATAGTTTGTCTGATAATTCTCTATTTCTCCATTAACTTAATAAATAGATTCACTTTGGGGGGATTCTTTCCTCCAGAGTATTTATATCTTCACTCGTCGTTTTGTGCAACATTAAGTAGATATTCTCATGCTCCTGCAGGTCAGTGACCTCCTTACACTGGTAAAATTACCCTTTCCTAATACAAGGCATTTCAGTCCTGCGAAGCTTTTCCCCCACAGCTGCATTTATTTACCTTTATGAACGTCCCGTATTTAAACTCTAATGTCATTTTCCACATGGCAGTTTGGCCTTTGCTGTATGTCATGATAAATTATGAAAGAGAAGGGAGTAAGTTTGTCTGGTAAAGAGCAAATTGTTTTATGAGTCATTTCATTTGTCCAGTCACAGCACAACTTCTTTTCTGTGTTGCCGCTTGGATGTTTGGAGCTGTTTTTCCTGGAGCGAGGAGTTCAGCCACCCAGTCGCTCGCATCCTCTGGAGAATCACGTCTGTCACTCTCTCTTCGATTCCTTTTTTCTGCTTTTAAATAAATGTAGCAAGTCTCTGACTTTCATAATTGATCTGTGGACAGGCTGAGGTTGTTGAGTGTGTTTAATATGGTAGCCATATGTAGGCCAATTTCATAAGCCACCTAGGGTCAGAAAACAGTTCTGGAACATCTGGTATAATATCCCTCATTAACTCAGAGGTCTCGAACAGCCACTGCAAAATTCTCCCTCAGGACAGCCGCAGCGCTGCTGAGGGAAAACGTGCGAGACTGGCCAAGCAAACGTGACTGTAATAATCTCGACTTTACAAATTTCGCAGCGATCACATCGACAGCAGAGTTGGGCTCTGGCTCCAAACGTTGCTTTGCAAACTCTTTCGACAGGCGTCACGGTGATGCTGTTGTGACACGTGAAATGCTGCAAGAATCAGAATAGGACATAGTCTGGATTTTTCTTTTCTTCCATGAAGCACGCTGAGAGAGAGGATGTGTCAGCCAGGTTTGGATTAGACTGCCTGAGCATGAGAGTGACAAGAGACAGGGCGAGCGCTCGCTCCTGCAATTACTGCGCTATTCTCACATCAGCTCGAATCAGCACAATGGGACATGGAGTTTATGTTAGGGGACTAGAAGGTGAAGGACTGTTTAGCATCTGATCTGACAACACCGGCCTTTTGCATTCTCACATGTTGTGAAATGCACTACACACAGGTACACACACGCACAGATGCCACGTTTATTTATAGCTTCCTGTGTTATGACCACAGTCTGACAGCTGTCGGTCTCAGCTGATCTCCAGCTCTCCTCCTCTCCCGTCTCACTATAAAAGGGAAGGAGACCACCATCAGTCCAAACGCCATCAGCTGTTCTCACCTGCGTCTCCAGCACCGCCCCGTTGAGCTCACCGCACCACTCCTCCCCTGCAGCCACGCCCGGACCACACCTCCGCCACACATGTACTTTAATAGGCAGTGCACAGAAAGGATCGTGGCTGGAGTCCAAACAAAGGGGAGATTTTTGCCCGCTCCTTTATTCAGAAGGATTCGTCACCGTGGCAGGTTTGGCAGACTTTTATGCCAGATTCCTGACATAATTCCAAAGGGATTCATTTCTCCGCTGGGAAAAGAATCAATTAACTCAAACTTTTAAATCTGTTTACATTTTAAGGATTTTGTAATAATGGTCATTGTAACAAATGATAAGATTGACTTTGATGGTGCCTTGTTTAAACTCTGGGAAGTGTTATTCACGTGGCTGTATCATTAATAACACATTTATTATGGCAGTATTAACAGATCGATCATATAAACACCACAAAAATCATTTTCATCTCTAACACCAAACTTCTGCATTAGTATGAGATTCATTAGCATAAATAAAGGCTCTGGCTGCAACATACAATATAAAACTTTCATAAAGTATTATTGTTATTATGATTAGTGACACCAGAGTGAAAATTAAACATCTTACGGTTGGTGAATCCTGCTCCCATTGTGAAACGAATCTGATCAAATCACAAAAATTCAGTCCTAAAGACAAAGATTATTTGACTTTTTGTGCATTTGAATTATCAATATTATAGTAATTTGAGGGTGAAAAAGCACGATTTTCAGAGGTTTTAAAGCCACGTTAATGAGTTTTTTCATTGCCCCCTGGATATCCATGGCCTGCATTAATTTTATGTTCACCCAGGAAGAGCTCTTATTATTATGTAAAATATCAGTTCCCTCAAACCAAAGTAGTCCTTTAAATCCACAAGCTAAATGTTATCATTACTCAAATCTCATCCAAAAGCCCCAAACCTAAATCCTGTCAAAGAAGAGAATATCAGCATTTTCCCCTCTTTGCATAATTTTCTCTTTCAGTCCTCGTGAGATTTCACCCTTGTAAGTATAGCGATAAAAAACACACTCAAAAACAAATTTATAGAAACTTAGATGGTTTAAAGATCCTGTCTGGCCCGGTCTTTAGACCTTTATAAAATCGTGATGTGTCTGTGAGCGAAACTGGGCTGGCTCACAAACAAAACTGGGCCAGTAATCATAGTTTGCGGGCAAACCTGACCATTTCTATTCTCGTGAGATAGATAGTGGTTTATTTGGAGCTGGCAAACACACAGTGCACACACTGACACATATTTTCAGAGTCCTTTCTCTCATCACTGCCATTCACACCTCTCCAACTAAGGCTTTTCCCCTCACACCCTTCACTTGTTTGTTAGACCTTTTCACTCATCTCTACTCCCCTGCCTCCATCCATTACCACTAACCCCTCCCTGTCCCCCTTTTCTCTCACCCTCTCTGTGATTAATGCAATCCATCTCAGCACACATTCTCCAAATCTGTTTACAGTTCTGCAACTGTGGGCTGCCCACCACCCAGTCTTAACTAACTGTAACCTTGTCTGCTGAGCGAGCCTCCGTGGTGACGTGACCGCAGGTGCAAGGATGAAAAGAGACAAAGAGAGGATGGAAGGATGGCTGAAAAGTCAGAAAATTAGCCAGAAAAGCAGTTTGAGAGGATGAAATGCATAGGTGAGGGAGAGAGAGAAGCAGAGGAGCAGTGAGGAGGAAGGCCAGAGGGAAGGGGTGAGCAGGGGAAGCAGAGGGAGCATAGGCAGAGGGTAGAGCTGCAGGCAGTGTTTGTCCCAATGCTGTGTTCTTTCCTGAAATAGCTATTACCCTGATGAGATGCTTGCTGGAAGGAAGTCTGTTTGCATATGTGCACATCCACATCTGTATGCATATACGTGCATGTCTGGGTGCAAAAGCCATATTTCCTGTCAGGCGTTAATCTCAGTGACCTTAGCCGCTCTCTGAGCTGCATCGTGGTGCAGTGTCCCGAACATCACCCAGCACAAGACCCCCATAGTACCCACCAACAGACCACTGTAGCACGACAGTGCTGTTCTCATTAACTAGTATTAAATGAATATCTTGAATATCTCTTTGGCCTGCCGTGAGGTCAGCGATTTGCTCAAGCACCCCCACATCCCACAGACAGCTTTTCTCCTTTTGATAACAGCATGACTAAAAAGTCTTATCAGTGCTTTCATAATGATATTGCACCTGGATGCATTAATCCTCAAGAGAGTTATTACTATGGTAAAATCAAGGTCTAAGTGCCAAAGATGATGATAGATTTGCAAATGTGATGTTTTTTGAGCATTTAGGAGATGCAGTCTGCACCATCCTGCCTTTAATTAGCACATGGCATTAAGTGTTGCTCAGCATTTAAGCTTTTGTTCTCAAAATCAATGGAGTATCTCCTGAGTTACATATTGTGCTTTAGTGGCAGATGTTGTTGAAATGATTTCACGTTCCCGTCTTTAAATGAGGCCGCCTCTCCTGCCTTGTTAAACACTCTATAGTGCCAATGCCGATCTTCACACCAGATTCAAGAATTTCAAGCATCAGATAAAATTTCATATAAAACAAATTTCCAAGGCCATAAATCCTGATGTTAAGCTTTGGGTTTTTCACTGCACCCCTGTGAAGATGACATTTGTTGTTTAAAGTTGCACGTCTTTGCTGTCGTTGGTTGCATCACTTAAAAACAGATATTTACGGCGTATATAGGCTGTAATAGATGTTGTGGTTCTCTAACAGGTCTTACAGCAGTAAGGTCCACATTGCAATTGCCCAGTGCTCAGCTGTGCTTTAATATCTATGTATTGTACTCACTTCAAGCTGAATATAATTGTTCTCAGACTCATCAGCATGCCTGCAGCTACAGCAGGTCATCTACTAATTGGGAGGCTGGTCGTTCAGTCCCCGGCTGCTCCAGTCCGCATGCCAACGTCTCCTGGGCAAAATACGAACCCCACGTTGATGCTTCATTGCAGCATCAGAGTATGAATGTGTGTTAATCTAAGTTAGGTGTGCTTGTATGAATGTGTGACTGAGACATGTAGAATAAAGCTCTTTACGAGGGTAACTTTACTACAAACACCATGATTAAAATTTTAAAATCATCTTTATTTGTTGTATACTGGAACTTGGTTCAGTTTCAGCTGACTGTCTTTTGACTTACTGCCCCTCACAGGGAAACTAGGAATGTAGAGCAGTCCAAAGCATGAGCTTTTGTTTTCAGCCTGCTCTCAAAAGGTATGTACATATACACTGACCTAATTATTTGAAACCTGTTGTGTTGAGCATCAATCTCTGTAACTGTATACATGACCAGCTAGATCATAAGTGAAGGAAAGGTGTTTCCAGTTTAAGTTAAGCGCTTAAATGATAAGAGATGATACGATGACAGCATTGTTGGCAACCTGGTGATGAGCTG